TGCGCGATTCCTACATCTCACGGCATTCCTTCTCTTCGTGCCTAATACGCGAGTATTGACCATTCAATTGAAACCTAATTAAAAAACCATTGGGTGTCATGTACTCCTTTTTTTAAAAAAAAAATTCAACAGCCACCATAACCTCAGACATCAAACCGGTGATTATTTTGGATTCCTTAGTATAACTCTGCTAATGACTTCAGATCCCTCGTAATTCATTGTTCGGGGATCCTGTTCAGAAGTAGTCTTCGGCCCTTTTGAAAGTAGCCTTGCAGGAATTTCTGGCATTGCGATTCTCCGGGAAGGGTGCTCATTCTGAGGGGGCTTCGTATTTTTGGGAAGCGATTGCAGGGCGAAGGGTTTAAGTCTTAAGCTTGTTGCTGCCTTGTACCAGTTTGGCTTCATGGGGCTACAGGGTTTGCTAGACCGACTTTGAATAGCTCTGCCGGTCCTCCCTCACGGATACTTCCGGTACCCTCATGAAACTGCCCGTTGCACTCCTTGAGATGGCAAACCTGTGAAAAGTAATTCCTGACAGGAGCTTGAGAGTCTCAACGCTATATGATGGTTTCCCAAAAGTAGGGGTTCCTAAAATAAGGATTGTCGGGAAACTACCAAATCTAGATCCCCCAAAGCCCCCTTGGCAGCAAAGAAGCATCCCGAGTCCAAGCCCTGCCGCTGCTGTGGACGCCTCATTTTGCCACTATTAGAAATAATTTGGGCGTGTTTTCAGTTGCAGCTTAGGATTGGCTGTACCAGACAAATAGGTGGTGGGTTCCCAAGGCGGCTAGGAAGCACAGATCACATCACTTGGTTTGGTGTTTGTCTAAACCATGATACTTCGCCCCTTCATGTCTTCGTCCCTGCGGGCCGCGTCGGGGACTCCTTATGTTTCCGTGACAGCCGCACGTGAAATACGCAGCCAAATGTGGAGGGCCCCCCGCCCCCCTACCGGTGTTTCAAATGGCCTTGGCATTGCCCGGAGGCCACACCCTCAGCGCCACAGGGCCATAGCATGCCGCAGGCTGCAGGGCCCAAATTACGTACCGTAGTGGTTTCGCAAACCCGGGGACCCTTTTCGCCTATTCTTAGAGTATTCTTAACGGCTTCTTAACGGCTTTTGACTTGATACAGGGCGAACCCATAAATCCTGCCGGTAGAAAGAATGTTTGAACCAGTAAATTGGCGTCTTGCCATTGAGAAGGACTAACATTGAGTGGAGATCACCAGGTTTCATCTTAGCAGTTACTTGCAAGCCGCACGTGAGCATGACAAACTGCAGATCAATTTCTGGCGAGGGGGCATGGGGGCGGTGTGAGGGGCGTTGGGGATTGTTGGCAATGAGGATGAGGGGTGGGCCATTCCATGGCCGCACCACGGGCAGCAAGCAAGAAGATGAGCAAACAAACATGCTTGCGGACAGGAAATGACGAAGGATGTATGCTCTAAAGCCTGGAGAACTTGACTTCAATGCATCCTCCAGGCGGTCCGTGATTGACATTTCCGGTCCTGAGCTGGCTGTCATACATGTATGGTTAAACGGATACCCTCAGGAGACAGTGAATTACGGAATTGTCCATCACAGCGCATTCCCCAAATGGCCTTGCCTCTACATCAACCCTGTGTGGCGGTTCCCCGACTGGGATATATAGGGATTATGTTGCCTGTTTCCCTACTGAGCCCTACTGACCACCAGTATGACTTTCATGGCAAGGCCTCCCCTCCCCCGTAACCCTAACCCCCCATAAGCATGCAAAACATCACGCTTTGTTTTTGAGCCGTCACCGCTTTGGTGTCGCTCGGTGCTTGGCCTCCAGTGCGCACGGCAATCATCTTATCATTACTATTACTGTTACTACTTCTATTACTATTATTATTACTACTACTACTACTACTACTATTGCTAAGAATATTATTTTGGGTATTATTATTAGTTTCACTTTTTTGATTGCTATTACTATTGCTATTTCATGATTATTGCTTTTACTTTTTCTATTGCTATTACTCTTCGTCTTACTCTTACGCTTACTTCCATAGTTGTTCATCCTAGTTCAGCACCATTGTCCTAGTAACCAACGAAGAAGCAGCAGAGGAAGGAGCAGCAGCAGGGTTCGTGTGATCAAATAACAGATGCGTCTCCCGAACAACGAGAATCGAGCACAAGGGGCGCTATCAGGAGATGTAGCGCACATGTAGTGCGCGCACATGCCAGCAGATTCAGGATGCAAGATCCTCTGCCTAGAATTTCACGCATGCAAAGATGCTGATTTAGCATGGTACCTTGCATATCTTTGGGCAAAATGCACCCTGATGCACAAAGCCTTTTAATCAACCTCTGAGGACTCGTCTGAAATCTCGTCTTGAGCAGAGGCCGAACCTAGGCCCCCAAAGCTCTGCCTGAAAGCTCTTATCCCAGCCTTGAGGGGGTTGACAAATGGCCGAAACTGAAGCAATCCACGCTCTTTGCTGATATCCCACAAACAACAACCCAGAAACATCATCTCTCCAATCCAGGATACCAACATGACAAGAGCTACCGGAAAAATGCTGAAGCTAGAGATTTTCAATTGGCAAAGAACACCTTGACTAGGCAAGCACAGAAGTCCCCTCCGTAGGCCTTCAGACCTTCGGTTTCATTTTGCGTGCAAACCGTTCTGTTGATGTGATGCGTGCCTTGGTGTTGCTCTCCCAAGGTGTACCCTGCATGCCAAGATATGATGCACAGAACGAAATCGGAAAAGGCCTCAAGCACTCTGACCCTCAGCACCTCAACCGAAGCCTTATGCCACAGATCTTGAGTTCCCCACTTCAACTCTTTCATAAACCTGGAATTGGCTGAAACAAACTGAAATGCAACATGCCAGCACTCCGGGCAAAAGGCCTGGTAGACTTGACGCACGAAGTTCTTCCACGTGGAAAAGTCAAAGCGTAGCTTTCCTTCCCTGCGCAAAGATTACATGCTCCAGACTCAGGGTTGATAGTTTCGTTGAGGCTCTTTGAACATGCTGGCCTGCGCTCTCATAAACGAGAATCCGTAGCCACCTGAAGGCATAAAGGAGCACAGAGCAGCCCCAGCCGTTCGTCAAATATTCAGATGGGGGTTTCTCCAAGTTAGCGGTACCATTTTGGGGGTCCCAGTATGTGGGGGTCTATATTGGGGTCTCCTCATTTTGGGAAACCATCAAATCGGGGGGAGGGGGGGGGTGAAGACATGAATGCGAGGCACGTGAAAGCGGCTCTACGACCCATAATGAAAAATGACCTGAAAAACACTATGCAGGCCATGCCTATTGGAAGACATGGGTAAAGGTTCTTCAATGATCAAGCAAGTACAGAAAACACCTGGCTCTAATTCTTGTATGTATCTTGAAAAGCACTGACAAGGAAACAAAGGAATTCCCTCTTCAAGGCAAGATCTCTCTTGCGTTCTGTTATAAGCTCCTGTCTCTAGTAGAAAGACCTGGCGGCAGCATTAACACTGTGCGAAATCAGGGGAACCCCTACTCTCGGCGATTGAATGAATCCCTGGAAACCCAGGAGACCCTGATCCTTTACGGTTTTTTGTTAATGTAGCAGCCCTAATTACCTCAGAACCCCTGCTCCTCGTTGCTAATATGCCTTTGATTGGCCCCTCTTGAAAGCGGGTTATCAGTAAGCTTTATTCGTGCCAAAAGATTAGTTAGCCGAGAAAGGTATCCAGCACATCCTTGAAACATTCCTCATAACGGATTCCTCAAAAGTAAGTTGCCTTTTCTTTCAGGCATGAACGTTTCTAGAAGAAGCCTCTCCGTTTCACTTGCCTGGAAACAGGGGGGACGAAGCCAAAAGTCACCGATATCTGTCCAAACAATGAAGCCCAGAGCATGCAGCGTTACAAAGCAAAATTCCTTCATTAAGCCTTTAGCATTATGCTCACCAAAGTTACCAGAGTTCCTACAGCCATAATACACTATAAAATATCATAATATACCATAATATGAACCAGCCACTTCCCCCACTCAAGGACACCACAGACAGACGCTGGCAAGTACATGCTGGCCTGCAGCAGGCCTGGCTTGGATTGCATGTGGGTAGTTCCCAAAATTAGGGTCCCATCTAATCATCTTGGTACCCCGAAATATAAGGTGCCATAAGGGGCCCATAATTTTGAGAACAACCCTTGTGGATCTTGGGTTCACCAACTGCAGCGGGAACGCGTTGAGGCATTTTTTTTTTTGTCCGAGGCATACGGTACAATACGGAGTAGCTATACAAGGGCCTTAAAAAGTGCAGCAACCATGAACAGTTGCATAAGACATGGCCTGAAAATTGAAAGTCGATTTGGGGTTGATCCACTTGGGTGTTATTCTTGGGGGGGATTGGGTTACGTGGGGATCCCTACCACCCAAGCTAGAGACCCTTTTCGGGATTGTGGGGGGCCTTGAAACCTTTAAAGTACCGATGAGGATGGCTTTTGCCGGGGTGCAAACTGAACAATGGCTTCAGGATGCCGGGTACAAAGCTGATGGAGGAGTTGTGCTAGTGGCCAGCGCAGACGCATCTAGATCCACATGAACCCTTCAAGTACAAGGGTGCCTCTGTATGCTGACCCCTCAGGACGAAGTCGCAGAGCTTGTCCAGGAGCTGCCATTCAGCCGGAGACCTTTACAAACTTGTTGGGGTACCCGAGGTACAGGGCCCCTCCTTTTGAGAAGCTCTTCGTCTAGAAGGGTGTGATGTTTTCAGGTGTCTTTTGGGGATCCAGGCTTCAAGTCCAGGGTTTTGGAGTGCCTCCTCCTCCCCTTCCCTCTATCAGTGTTACTGCCTCTTTGCCGACGCATGTCAGGACTGTCAGCATTTTCCCCGGCCTCCGGTAGCCTTGGAGAAAAGCATCTCCGCTGCCACCTCCATGCACCGTTTCTGCTTCATGGTTCAGCTGACACATTGCAGGGGTTTCTCCACTGACATCGGACTTGCTCAGGAGCGCAGCGCAAGTCTTAAAACCTTGCCACTGGACCCCGGAAGTATGCAAAATAATGGCCTTCATGGCAGTTGTTATGGGCCAGTATGTTACATACTTGCGGGGTTTAGGTCGTATAGTCTACTAAGCTTTTTGCTTCTGATAGGCTGGCTTGGCATCGGTTTCCGGACAGGGAAAACAATGTGCACACATGCCACAAGAGTTCGTCAGTATTCCTTCCAGTCCCCTGACGACCCCAAGGCCACAACCCAAAGCCCAAAATTCCTCCAGACCTGAAGCCTCAGACCTTATGGAAATACAGGGCTTTAATATGGGCTAAAATGGGTATAATATAGAGTATATAGGGATACTGCAAAAGCAAATGGGAAGCATTATTTGGGGACTATCCCCAAAGTCACCAGAATATCCCTACAATCTCCCAAATAGCTTTGGGAAATCCTTCTTGCGGCCTCCGAGAAGTCGATCGATGAGTGGCGGCTTCTCCGGCGGGTTGGGCCTCTTCCATGAAGGGTTTGGATACCAAAGGTGCAGCGTGCGGAAGGTCTGGGGAACCAGCCGTGAAAACTACGAAGGCTACGGCCAACACTTTATCACAGGGCATGCTCTTCTCAAAGCTGGTAAGGGAATACACAACACCTACGAACGATAGCATCCCTAAATCCCATAAGTACTGAGCCCTCAAGCCCTGAATCCAAAACCTCCAAGCTCTCGCCCCTAAACCCTAAACCCTTTCCCCAAAAACCTGCCTAGGCTTGCTCTTGGCAAAGTTCTCGAGCACCCCCTTTTCCTGCAGATGGGGGAGAGGCAAATCTCAGGTTGCGTGCAGCACGCAATTGTCTGGGCCCCGTTTGGAGGGCTGATGTGGAAACACCTTGATCTTTTTCGAGAAGCTTCACGGGCGTCTGTATCTAGGTAGATCCATGTATCCGCGAGTCACTGTTTGGGGCGGTCTCACGGCTCATGAGGAAACTGCTGTTTCATGTGCACGGGTCTTTTGTATCCCAATGCACAAAATCGAGCATCCCTACCTGAATTCCAAAAAGAAGGAAAAATGGCCCAAAATACACAAATATAGCCCAAAGGGCCATTATTCTACATACTGTTGGGGTTCAGGCACTCCCAATAAAACCTAAACCCGCAAGCCTTGACCCTCAGCCCTTCAAGCCAAAGCGCATCCCTCCATAGTCTGGGTGGCTGGAAAAGGAACTTAAGTTAAGCTACTATAATAAGGAACCCTATTATTCGCTATATACCCATACTATGGTACCCTAAACCCTAACCCCTATATAATTGCCCCATATATACCCCATATTATGTAACTTAGTTTGAGCTCCTTAGCAGCAACCCAATAATCTGGCAGCCCTGGGATGCCTGAAGATCGCATTTGTTGGCCACGAAAAGCACGGCGCAATCTCCCGAGAGGATGCCCTGGCTTGGTTTAGGGTTTTTGGGTTAGGGTTTTTGGTTTAGGGTGTTTTGTTTAGGGTGTTTCGTTTAGGGTTTTTGGGTTAGGGTTTCAGGTTTTGGTTGAAGGCTTTTGTTATAGGGTTTTGGGTTTTGGGTTTTTGGCTTAAGGCTTTTGGTTTAGGGCTTCGGGTTTAGGATTTTCAGTTTAGGGATTAGGCTGATGCCCTAGCTTGCTTCAAGGACTGAGCAAGATTGAGGCACCCAGGCTTTTTCGGATCTAACAGGTTTCTCATAGAGGCCAGGTCCCAAACCAAAAGCCCACATAAAAACGCTGACAGGGATTGCAGCCCACAACGAGAACCATGCATCAAGCTCTGCCACGGGCGACAACCCAAAGCCAGGCATCTTCACTCCTCGCAAACCAATCCGTATAATCTCTATACAAACCTAGATTCCACGCCATTGCCAGTTTATTTTCCATTTGATTCTCAATTACCCCTATCTCAAGCCGGAATAAAACCTATACCTGTGCTATAGATGTATGTAATAAACATACCCTATATGGTAGTTTCCCTGAATAGCTGGACCCCAACATAGTCCCCAAATACTGTAATTCTCATTATGGGTACCCCCAAAATGGTGCCCCTAATGTTGGGAACCCCCCCCAATATCCCCCTTTGCCCTGTACCCTAACTCCACACCCTAAACCCCAAACCTCATAAAGCCTAAAAACCTAAACCCTAAAACCTAGAGACCAAGCGCAGGGCCTGATGCAGGGCGCCAGTTTCGGCCCGTTCGAGGTCAACGTCTGGCTCACCTCCACCTTGAGACTGGCTGTGTGAATTTTCGTTTGGCTTATAGGGGTTCTATAGGGATATCTGGGGATATATAGGGTTATGTTGTGGCTCTGGATTTGTTCGAGAAGTCTCGGGGTCTACGTTATGTACCCCCACCCTGCAATAGTGGTAGAGTGGGAATATGAGAGGGCCCTTAATTCAATCACCATTGTCCCTTATAGTCATTAGTACAGGTTCGGGGGTCCAGCTCAGCTGTATGTATGAAATCGTAAGACATGTTGGAGTTCCTCTTGCGGAATTCTAGGTTTTGAGAATAGCGATTTGGAACTTGGACCCTTAGGCCCTGGCTCCCCTTTGCAAGATTATGCTATGAGGGTAACATCTCCAAATTCTAGTGGTGGAAGCCCCAGTATGGAGGACCTGTGGGTGAGGACCTTCACGTGTGTGGATGACACTGCTGCTAAGATTGTGATATAGCCCCTCATAAGAAGATAGAATATGAGGTCTATGGGGATCTTATTATAATATACCCAAAGCCATATTCTATCTACGTACGTGGGACCATACGTTGAGGACTTCCGTTGAGGCTTGTCAGATCCCCACTGTCTTCTGCTGCATTAACCCTAAACCCCAAGTTATGTACAGTAGCTTTCATCTTCTTGTCCATTACCCCCCCCCCCCCAATATTGCCCTCTGTACCCTTACATAGGCGTGTATATATATATATAAATATACATGTGTATATTTATAAATACATATATATATATAGATATATATGGGGCAACCCCAACATCAATCCCAAATTCTTCTAGTCCTTATCATAGGAGCCCCCAAAGTGGTACCCCAAAATTATGGGATGGCCTTCCTCGTTTTCATGGAAATCTAGGTCTCATCTCCTGCGTTCTCTACTTACTCGTTCTTAGTAGGGAATAAGTTTAGGGTTTAGGGGAACATAATCCCTATATAACCCTTATGTACTATATTCCCATATTCCCTACTGAGAACCAGGAAGTCTAAGTGATACGTGGATAGATAGAATTACACAGGGTTCTAGAGGGATACTGGAAAAGAACATGGAAACTATCATATAGAACAACAAGAATAACAATATAACACATAGTATCATGATTATGAGTTAATAGTGAATATCATTGAGGGTTGGCCAACTGTGACGCCTAAAAGGACAGCTTGAGCTGGTTGAGGTCTCGGCTGCCGCCACCTGTGTCCCAGTACTTCAGGGACGGTGGCTGCACCTGGGGTTTAGGATTTAGGTTTTCGGAGACCTCCCGGTTTTGGAGCAGGGTACGGTACTTGTAGATGCTAGTATCAAAGCCCCTGAGTGATGTTTAAGAGGTTCCCAGCCTTCTTGGGTCGTAAAGAGGTTAGTAGCAGCGGAGGCCCCCGTTCTTTTGGCAGCTGTACGGTGCAAAACAGGACAATGGCGTCAAACTGCATCCGGGATCCAAAGTCATCGCAATGGCTAATGGTTGGGTGGGGGTTCAACACAAACACAGGCATGACATACATACAGCTGGGACGCCAGCGATCTTAGTACAGTTGCTTTGACGAGGAGCTGAGCCCGTTTAGGGGCTTGTCATCACTAACAGCAGTTTATGCCATGTTATTATCCAAGATACATGCATCCTTAAACCATAGATTGAGCTGTAGTTATCCCGAGGTTATCCAATACACAAAGACTTTGCAGATGCTTATCTGGCGTTGTTGTCACCTGCGTTTGACCCTTGAATGCTTCCCGGCTACTTATCCATCGGGTTAGTCGGCTAAGCATGCTGAACAATGGTCGTTCTGGCCCTAAACGCGTTTTCCAGACCCCGTCTTCAAAGGGTCCATGCAAACCATGACAGTATATGAGCTCATGTCTACAGCTAGAGACATCACCGTCATTCGTCTCGCGTACGCTGGCTGGCATAAGTATCTGCATGCGCTGTGACGCACAGTAATACGTCTTGACAAGAGGTACTGCTATGCAGGTTCACATTAGTGGGTTTTGATCCGCTGGCAGAGATCTCGGGAGAACCAGGCTTGCCAGAAGCTCCCAGGCTCTTCATCAGCATATATCTGGGATAGATTTTCTGTCCCAACATAAAATCAATATGAGGATTTCTCAAGAATGGAGGGGCCCTCAGGGACCCTGGGATAGACACACAGATATGTGTGTATATATATATATGAGAGAGAGAGAGAGAACAAGTACTATGCATGGTGATGTTATTTGGGGTCCCTACTACGGATACCATAGGGTTCATGTTGAGAAATTCCCATCTATGCTCAGCCTGCTGTGCAGAGCTTCCAGTTCTGGAAGCTCATACCACAAGTTTAAACAGTCTAAGCGCCAAAATTGACAATTTGAAGACATCCAACACTTTGGGGATGAAGTAACAGTTGCTGCCAATTGGTTAAGCACATGGGTGCTCGCTGCAGCAACTTCTTCCAAAGGCAGAAGGGGGTGCATTCAGGGCTACTTATTCCACAGCCAGAACACAGTCCCAGATTTCAAATTTAGTTTCTTGCAGGGCCCGACACGGCGAGGGGGTACTGAACGATGGCCGACCATTCCTCACAACCAAAGGGAGATTATTGGGGTTATCTTAAGGTTATATTGGGGTTATATTAGGGATATATTAGGGTTATATTGGGGTTATATTTGGCAGGATCACAAAAAAGTCTCAGCTTCTAAGATCCCAAGCTTCAAGCTTAATCCTAAACCCTAAACCCCTAAACCCCTGAATCATGGACAGATTCAATATAACCCCAATAAAACCCTCATATAACCCCAATATAACCTAATATAACCCCAATATAACCCCAATATAACCCCAATGTAAGCTTCAAGCTGAGATTCCTTGACCCCTAAACCCTAAACCCTAAGCTTCAAGCTGAGAGTCCTTGGCGACCAGCTCGCGGGAGCCGGAAGGCTTCACATCGGCCTGGAGGCCCAGATCAATCCTTGGCTCATCGCTGGGAACCTCTTTAGGGGCTTCAGGCTTCTCCCAGCTCATATATGAAGATAAAAATAATAAGAATAAGAGTAATGAAAGTAAGAATAATAGCAGTAAAATAGATATAGTATTAATAGAATAGTAGTAGTGATAATAATAACAGTAATATTGATTAACAATCCTCATCTGGACCAACCTGGCCAGGTATCATCTCCTTGCAAGTTCTGTCCATGGTCTGGGCCAGGATGGTGCAGCACTTGGTGTCCACATGCCACCCGTGCACCTTGCCAAGGCTTCTCTCCATGGCCCATCAGATGCAGTTCCGTCAGAGCACTGCCAAATATAACCCCAATATAACCCTAATATAACCCCAATATAACCTTAAGATAACCCCAATATAACCCCAATAGGGTAATAGGGTGCAGACGACCATTTTGAAGAAACCAGAGCTGGGCGTGAAAGCTGCACAGCATGTGACTGGTTTGAAAACTCCCGAAGCGCTGCCCAGGCACGGTAACGGGGGAGCAGACCTCGTTGTTGACAGATGAGCCCGTCGTAGACCCAACATACCGGACCTTCTTGAAAGGCTCTCACGTCATGGTTTGGGCCATGGGAAAAACTCTGCACTAGCCTAGGAGCTTTCTAGAGGCCGGAGCCATGCAGCAGTCTCTGTATTCCGTGTCTGGGGTTGCGTGAACCCTGCGATCTCTCAGACTTTTGACTTTGCAGTCCTACCCTAGTAGACAAAACATCAGATGCTTCCGGCTGTTGACACCGTGAACCATAGGAACCCGCTTCAAGCTTCTCCGAGCGGCCCCCTGGCTCAGTGGAGGCTGACGCCACTGCTGAATGAAGTTCTTATAGTCTGCCTCAATCTCAGCCGGCGTCCTGGGCACCGCTATTTCAAACAACAAAGGGTCTGTGCAAATTCTAGCACTGCAGATAAACAACTTCAACCTTTCAAGACGAGGAGGTTCCTAACTTTGTCCCCAACTTTGCTGTGTCACCCTGCTAGGTGGACTACTGGTCTAACCGGCTGTGACCCATTCAAAGTGGACTCAGAGGGTCGTTACGCATCCGAGTAGAGTATCCCGTATGGTTTCTCTGCGGCCGACAGTCACCGTGCTGTTTCAGCTTCATGCGTTCAGTCATGTAGCTCAGTCATTCATATCAGTGGCAGAAAGCAGAAAGAGCGGGGGAACTCAACAGGGGCCCACGGAGCCAGACGCATTGAAAAAGAGCCCACTCAGAAATCCACACCATCTACAATCGAGATACATGCAAGAAAGCCTCTTGGTAAGTCGTTCGGGACCAAGTCGAGTGTTTGGGGCCAGGCAATGATAGCTTGAAATGACCAGCAACACCTGCTTCTGAGCAAAGAACTAGATGTGAACAGAATGACCCCATGATCTGCCTGCATGCCTTCCACTTCCCTGATACCATCCCTTACAACCCATACCCTAAACCCCAAACCCTAAACATGAGCTACGAACTTTCATGCGGTCGCAGCTCAAGCTCTCGTCGTTGATGATGCGGCAGGCCTGCATCACAGCATGAAGATCGTGGAGCCAGCTACGTCTAAGCAGTCAGATCGTCAGCTCCGCAACTCTGAGAATCACCTCCGGACCTCAGGCCCGTGTTAGCCCATGACCCTTTCGAAACAACCCGGCCTGCCCACGGACGATGATAGCCGGAGTGATGGTGCGGTTGAAGACCTCCACACAGAAAGGTCGATGACAAAGAGCCAAAGCGAAGGGTTAGGAGAAATGCTGGGTTGGGAGGCCCTGCCTGCCCCAAGCCGGGCCAAAGATTGAATTCATCGGAGAGTGGGCCTCCGGTGGAGTACACCCAATGGAACTCGTAGGTGTATCCCACAAAGGCATCCACACAGTACTGGAAGTTGAAGGGGTTCAGCTTGTCCTCGTAGCCCCTCAGTTCAGAGCACTACTTACAGTCTGTGGCTGCTGCCTTCAGTTGTCACGTTCAATATGACAATAACAGACATGCCCGACTGTGTAGCTCTGCTTGTGGTCGCACCATGATCCCAAGGCACTTCAAGTCGCAGAAGAAGCCTGGCTGCGTCGTCGATGGCTCCGGCGCAGCAGGGATGACCGACTGAATCTCCGCGTCCCGAGCAGTAGGTCCTGCCGGCATCTCTACTTACTGCTTGATAGGTCCGACTCTGTCCAAGGTGATGGGTTGTGCTGACTTCGTGTGAGACGCAGCAGTAGCAGCAGTGGCTGCTCCTCCAGGAGTGATGTCAAACTCACCCAGGCTGTAGTGCTCCTGATCGTCAAGCTGCACGCGCAACCCACAGGCTGTTATTCATGAAGTGCAAATGCACGCCAATGACCTGCTCTTTCCCAGCTGCTGCAGCCCAGGCACTGCACCTAGATGCCAATGGAGATTTACCTGAACGAACTCATTGGTAATGCCGCCATCCAAGGGGATAAACCGCGTTGGGCGCTCCTGTCAGACCGCAGCAAATCAGCAAATGCAAGGTGCCAGGCACGCCTCAAACTACCAGCCAGGAACCACGTAAAGATCTTTCACAGCTTCTTTTGTGGATACATGGTTTAGACATGTCTCTATGTTGATATACAAGTATGTTTTTTACATACAAGGACATGACAGTACGTTACATTACATTACACACATACACTCATACAAACATACACCGATACTCAGACACATGCACACATACACAGACACACAGACACATACACGCATACACGCATACACACACAGACAGACGTACACAGACATACGCACAAACATACAAACGTACACAAACGTACAAACAGGCAAATATTCAAACATACAAATAAACAAGCAAGCAAACAGGCAAACAGGCAAACAAACAACCAACCAACCAACC